TCTTTTTTTTTTTTTTTTTTGTCCATATCTTGCCTGTTCTGTGCTTTTATTGCTGGTGGCGTCGGGGGTCGGGGGGGATGGGAAATAGACGTGAAGCCTCGCGGGGCTGTTTTATACCTTGTGCATTGCGCAAGCAAGAGAATTGCACCGTTGATTAGCTGCTGCTCTTGTGAGCAGCCCGGGGGACCAGGAGTCACAGCTGCATCTTCGTTTTGCCTTGTTGCTCCAAACGATCGAATTAATTTCACCAGTCTGTAGGAAAAGGTCTTAGCTCCCCGCCAGCAGACTGTTTCAGGGAGGAGGTGGTGGTGGTGCGCAGGTACGAGGGATGGCAGCAGCGAAACCGCGCTTGACGTGCTGTGTTCTTCTCTAGTTGATGCGGGCCACCGAGCTGTCATCTTTGACCGATTCCGCGGGGTCCAGGACACGGTGGTAGGAGAAGGTACCCACTTCCTCATCCCCTGGGTGCAGAAACCCATCATTTTTGACTGCCGCTCTCGCCCTCGTAACATTCCTGTGATCACTGGCAGCAAAGGTGAGTGTTTGGACCCGGCAGCTGTAAGGCAGCCAGATGCTCTGATCATTTTTATTTTTTATTTTTTCCTTCTGGACGTGGAGATCCCCTGTGTCCCGAGTCCAGCTTGGCACAGAGTCAGGAATGGTTTGATCTGTCTTTTTAGTTACAGAACAGATTAAGGGGGACGCTTCCTTCAGTCCTGTAAGTCGTCCCTTGAACCATAAAATCCCTGTCTTTACAGTAGGGCAAGTAATTCCCTGCGCTGCAAACAAGCTGAAGCTTAAATCTTATCTGTGAGGAGGATTTGGATCCCAAGGTGAAATAACCCTTCTGTGCGGGCAAAAAGAAGTCCGAATGTGTATTCTTTCTCGTTTAGTTGCCCTGGAGAGGACAGCTTCAGGATGTCGCCTGTCCCTGTGGTTTGCCACTAAACTGGTGACTCTCTTCCTACAGATCTACAGAACGTGAACATCACGTTGCGTATCCTGTTTAGACCAGTAACTGCCCAGTTACCACGGATTTTCACCAGTATTGGAGAGGACTACGATGAGCGTGTCCTGCCCTCTATCACAACCGAAATCCTCAAGTCTGTTGTGGTAAGGACAGCATGAGAGCTGCTGGGCTCTGCTGCTCATCTTTCTTTCCTCTTCTCAGCAGTGAGAGACCCACTGGAGTGTGGTATATGTTGTGCTCCAGAATAAGGCTTCTTTTTCCAGGCCCAGGGTCTCACAGGCCATCCAGAAAAGCTAATTGTAGCTATGCTAATTGTTTGTGTCTCAGTCATTCTGACTGCTTGGCCTGACCTGATGCACGGTGGATGGTCTCTGGGTGGACAGAGGTTTCTTCGTTACCTGCTCTCAGCTGTTAGCTCTGCTCTTCAGGCTGGGAGTCACGGTCAGGAGACTGGGAGTTTGACTTCTCACGTCATCTTAGATTTCAGCTTGCTGAAGACCTCTGGGTTTGGAAGCGTCCCCAAGCGACTGCCAGATAACCACTAACCAACTTTAGTCCAGCTTTTACGCTAAATGCTCAGCTGGACAACCTCTCCTCCAGCTTACACCTAAATTCTCGGTCACTCAGTCTTTCTCTTACTTCGCATGTCTGGGCAGCTCGGTGTTCGTTAGCTTTGGGAGAAGAACTGGATTAACTCTGGGGCTCGTGGGTGCAAAGACAGGCAGGGCATGGAGAATCTATCACTTCTGGGAGCTCTTTTTTCACTGTTGTCCATCCCGATTTCAGGCTCGCTTTGATGCTGGGGAATTGATCACTCAGAGAGAGCTGGTCTCAAGGCAAGTGAGTGAAGACCTGACGGAGAGAGCAGCAACCTTTGGGCTCATTCTGGATGATGTGTCCTTGGTAAGAGTCCTCCCTTTTTGGTTTTTCTCTTTGGAGCGTGCTCAGATAAGAGCAGTGGAGAAGAGACTCGGTGTGAGAAGGCCAGACAAGGGTGGGCTGGAAGTCTGGACGCGTAGACTACATTTGTCTGTCTGCAGTTGCGTGTTGTGTAGTGGTTACAGCTCAAGTCGGTACCTCTGGTTTTGTCGCTGGCCTGTGACCTTGAGCAAGGCCTTGCAGGCTCCGCTGCACTTGGCTTATCGACAGACTTCACTGTCGCAGGGCTTCTGTAGTTAAACGAAGAGCAAAAGCTTCTGTGGCTGATGGGTCAGGCTGCACGTTGCTGTAGAGAAGGTAGCAGTTCCACAAGCACCCTGAGACGCAGGGAGGGTGTGCAAATACCCACTTTTGATAGCATCCTGTTTTCTACAAAGCATTAGGTGTTCTCCTGGCTGTGTCTTCTAAAACTGTTCAGGGAGGGAGCTCTCCCTCCTATCTCCCTGTAAGCTTTGTAAATTAAATCTGTTGTAATCGGGCTTGTACACGCACCTCTCCGTCTCTCTTCTGGGACTTCCCTCAAAAGGCTGCTTAGAGGAAAGGGAAACGAGCTCTTCCATTTGGCTTTGAACATATAGGAAGTCTTTGCAGGAAGGTGACTTTGTTTCTGTAGAACATGAGGTTTTGACTCTTTGTTTCTGGTGCTTTCCACTGAGCACACTACCAAAGGAAATCCACCTTTCCCCTGTCGCAGCCCAGGAGCCTGCAGCTGTCCAAACAGCCCGGGCTGAGCACACCAGGGCGTAACGGAGCATGGAAGGTGTAGGATGGCTTGGGAAGGGGGGGGGGTGAGAGGGGAGCGCTGGGCGAGCGGGCTGCCTCTGCCGGGTGCTCGAGCAAGCGGTGGTGGCAGGAGAGTGTGGTGTGTCTCTCAGGGTACTGTTGTTCCTGGTCTGCTGGACTGGACCCGCGCTTGTGGCATCTGCTGTGAGACTTCACAACTGGACAGGCCCGCTTGTCCCAGTTTCTGTTCTTTTAGGGGATACTGGCTTTCCATCTCCATTCCAGTTTGACTGATAGAGGCAGGCTGCCTCCCCCTGGGAGCTGCGTGGGTCGCAGCAGTGCTGCTGTAAACTGTCAGCGGTGTGGACTTTGTTTGATTTCTGCCCTGCAGACCCATCTGACCTTCGGCAAGGAGTTCACGGAGGCGGTCGAAATGAAGCAAGTGGCCCAGCAAGAAGCAGAGAGAGCCAGATTCATTGTGGAAAAGGTACCTTGTCCTTCTGAGAAACTTGGAAAATGGTTCCTGACATCTCCTTCCCACTCTAGCTTGTAGCGAACATCTCACTTGCCTGTCCGGGAGACCGGGCACGTTGAGTGATGAAGTCACCTAGGGTCATCACGTTGACATGGTTCTCAGCTCTGGTATATGATTGTTGGATAGATAAAGCCCAAGGTTGGTTTCTTGGGTCTTTTTGTGCTTTTAATACTGTGTCACAGTCCTACTGGAGTGCTGAACAGAAATGTGTGCATGGCGGAGGAGGGAAAAAGCGACACTCGGAAGGAAGTATCAGTGAGAATGGGGTTCGAGGTTGAGATTTGCAACCCAAGTGATCCTGCTGCTTGTGGAATTTAAGAGGGCGGCCGAAGCTGTGCATGGTGTTTGATATGGGCACGGGGGCCTGCGTCCTAGGAACGCTACTGACTGCGTGCAAGACCACATAATCTCGGATCAACCGAGGGTCTCCGTGAGAATCCACAGAAACAATTTGGTGTTAAAGCACCCCGGCACAGCTGAGAACACGTGCCTGTTGAGGTTGCAAGAACCTGCAACTACACCCAAAAGTAATCCAGAGGATGCAGTAAGATGCATGTAGTCAGCCAGGATGATTAAACAGTGCAAGTGTTTATCTGACCTGGTTTTAGCTCCACTGAAGTTCTCAAATCTTTCATAGACAATTTTCCACCAGGAGTGCCCTTAGGTGGGTTAATGTTTCATGAGGTTAAGACTGATAAGGCAATTTCAAGATGATTTTTCAACCTTTTTTTCACAGCTGGCAGAAAAACAGTCTAACAGAATGCTGCTTTAAAGCAGAATCAGCTTCTACCTTTGCTCGCTACTGGAGAAAAGAGCAGTAGGGTGGTCAAGTGGGAATTTGTTTTAGATGTGACAACTTCCTTCTCTTTTGCTCTTGTTTTCCCTGTTGGTTATTCTCCTTCTCATCTGATTACTTTCAGGCTGAACAGCAGAAGAAAGCAGCTGTCATATCTGCTGAAGGAGACTCGAAAGCAGCTGAGCTGATTGCCAACTCACTGGCCACTGCAGGCGATGGCTTGATTGAGCTGCGCAAGCTGGAGGCAGCTGAAGACATCGCTTACCAGCTCTCACGGTCCCGCAACATCACCTATCTGCCCTCTGGACAGTCTGTGCTCCTCCAGCTGCCGCAGTGAACCTGGCTCTGCAGCCATAGCTAACCTGGTCACCTCTACCTACCAGATCAGCCCTTTCCAAAAGAATCTTTGCAATTTTCTCACTGGTAAAAGCAGAGGAAATTAAAATTCAACCCATTTTGAATTCTTAATCAAATAAAACTGAACGCTCTTGACAACAAACCTGCATTCCTCCCATATACGGTCAGAGGTTTGAGGATTGCCCCTTTCCAGGCAGTTTGAGCAACAGGAGCAGTTTTCATCTGTTCACTCCTGGGACGACCAAGTAGCCCAGGTGACTCCCTGACCACAAGAGTGCTGTATCAATCCGGTTTCGCAGCGATGCTTCAGTGCCTTTAAGCTGGCTGAGCCAGGGTCGTTACAGACTTGCAGGTCCTGGACTGTGGAACAGGGATGCTCAGGGCTTGCTCATCAGTCAAGCCAGTCTTTTTTCAGGTGCCAGCTGAGAGAAAGAGGACATCTCAGCTGTTAGGACAGTGGCTCTGCTGTGCCCGTGTGAGCCGTAGCACTGATAGCTGGAGGCACAGATCGAGTGGATTGCGGCTGGGGGTGAGAATAGCAGAGATTCGCTTTATGCAGTAGATGGATTTCAGGCACAGCGGAGAAGATACTTCCTCTGCAGGAAATACTTCTCATGTACATGCTGGAAATGGGAGATCTCTGCTTCTCCCCCTGCCGCCACACACTGATCTGTTTGCTGGTGCTTGCCCTGTGTGCAGTGTTGGTTCTTTCACCAAGGTCAGTAAAGGTGGCAGCTGGCCTATTGCAAACGGCCCCTGGGACAAAGGGGATGACTCGGTGCTCTGTGGCTCAGGCAGTCGGAGGTGGGCAGAATTCTCTGTTACATCAATGCTCTTTTTATTTAGGGAACCTGAATTGTGAGGAGGATGTGATGGGTGAGATTGTATAACCGGCCTTCAATAAATGTCGCAGTCCCAAGTGTAGTAGTGTGGGGTTGGTTTTTTTTCTTGGTATCTTAGAAGAATGAAGGTTGGGTCAGTGGGGCCCAACACCTCACGCTTGTGCTACATTGTCTGGATAACAGTCACTTAGGCAAATGGGTCTTGCTTGTGACAACTTAAAGCTTGAAACATGGTTCTTAGGCTGAATTCCTGCAACAAGGTAAGACTGAGACTATCTTGAGGTTATTCTGAGGGCTTTTAATTGCTTTCCTTGCACAGTTCAGGTTGTCGTTTACTGCATATGCGTACCTTTTCCAGGGTGCTCTTTTGATGCAACACTATGCTGTTGGAAAGAAAACGGGGGTGTATTGTACCAGGTGCAGCCTACAGCAAACTTCAGACCTGTCAGCAGCTGTCAGAAGGCACGGTGCTAGCCTGGCACGCCACTACCCCCATCCTGCAAACAGGGTGCTCATGCCATGTCTGTTACCCTTGAGCAACACAGTCTTAGGTGCATCATCACTCCCCTGAGGATGCTGAGCCCTCGGGAAGGCTGCTGTGAAGGGTGGGCTCACTTTGTTATTGTACAGCCCCTTTGGGTTGTTGCCCTCGCCTCTGATGAAATGGAAAGACTTGCCTGCTTTTTCTGCTGGGCAGGGTACACTCTTGCGGTGATGAGGTGCCTGAGCTTGCAAAATATTTTAAGCAGCTGAGCAGTCGGGTCTATAACTCCCAAATAACTTCCAGACCTCTTCCCCCTCCAGTGCTCTTGTTCTTTATTCTTCTGGTTTACCATTTCAGACACTTCTAAGGAAGCTTCCACTTTTCTCCTGAGGCTCTTTCTTTAAAGCCCTCTTAGCATTTCCTGCATTTCTCTCCGTTGGTTTCATGCACCAGGTGTTGGGCTCAAAACAGTGGGTCTGAAATCCCCTCTCTTCTGTGAGAGAGCTTCTGTGGCTCTGCATTACATCTCCCTCCAGTTCTGGATTTCCAGTGGAGTGTGGAGCGTTTCCTGCTGCTTTTGCTGTTAGCCTCGCTGGAGGAGGTGTCTGAGGCTCTAACGGTGGGCCCTGGGTCTGATTAATCACCATTTCCTTTGCTTTTGGGTGTAATTCTTTTTGCAAATGTTCCCTGGCTGTTAACTGCTCCTTCACCCTCGCTCTGCCTGACTTAATGCCTAAAGCTGCCATGAACTCATCAGACTTCAAAGCTGCTCTTGAACCTGTAGCTGCCTCGGTGTGTGCTAGCTGAACCCCTTGTTTTTATTGTGTTTATAGCTGCTCGTCAGCCTTGCAGACCACGTGGAGCGTTGAGGTGTCTGGCTCCAGATGGGAGAGGTGACCCTAAAATCAGGAGGTGGTGGTGTGTGGGCTGCACAGGGATGCTCGGTGAGGGATAGGTCTTCTGCTTGCTGGGTGGGTGCTGCTCCGAGAGCTGCGCAGCAGTGAGCGAGCGCTGCCTGGCATCCTCTGCCGAACTTCTCGGGTGCTGGCAGACTTCTTGGTACAAAACCAAACCAAAAAGTAGGTGTTAGCAGGGTGTGAGCACTCGCTCTCAGTGCTCTACTTGTCCGGGCAATAGAAAGAACTTCGGGCTTGGGTAACATGAAGGCAGGCCGCCCTCGCTGCTCGAACAAACAAGGTGTCCCCACCCTCTCTGTTTGGCATTTCTAACCTTGTTGCTCTTAATGACCAGTAACAAAAACTTGCTCATGAAAGTGGAGCGCAACCCGGGTGGAGAAGCGAGAGGGTCAAGGCATGTGGCTTTGTACTGAGAGCAGAGAGGAGTTTTGTTGTGCAGGTCCTGGTCTGCCCTCCCAGAGACCCTGTGTAAAGCAGTTGATGAGCCTGGTGTCCTGCGACTGTCACCTGGAGGGCTGGCTCTCGATGCAGGGCTATTGCAAAGGCTGCCTGCTCTCAGCAATCCCCATGCGCACGAAGGTGCTGGAGATGCTCCAGAAACAGCCAATCTTCCCCTTTCGCCTCATCCTTAGAGAGTGCAAGGAGAAGGGCTGTCTTGTGGCCGTGCCTGGAGCAGCAGCCACTGGCTGGGAAATAGTCCTCCATGACCACCATGTGCCAAGTCTTTTGGGTAGGACACTTCAGCCCACGCTAAGCCGTGGTCATGGGTGGGAGGCAGCTACATGGTGCTAAACCAGTTCTCTGTTGTGTGGGCTTTCTGCTGCTGCTGAGCGATTGCAGCCATGCTAAGACTTTTGCACTGGGGAGGGGAATGCTTTCTGTGCTCAGTGTACATAGTCCTCCATGACCACCATGTGCCAAGTCTTTTGGGTAGGACACTTCAGCCCACGCTAAGCCGTGGTCATGGGTGGGAGGCAGCTACATGGTGCTAAACCAGTTCTCTGTTGTGTGGGCTTTCTGCTGCTGCTGAGCGATTGCAGCCATGCTAAGACTTTTGCACTGGGGAGGGGAATGCTTTCTGTGCTCAGTGTTTCTTCATTTTTGCCACCCATTTGCACAAAACACTTTGAATTCAGTATATTCAACAACTTTTAATCACGCCATTGAAACTGGTTTTTTTTTCGGAGAAAGGACAGCATGATTGCATGAAGCCAGTGCTTCCCCAGAAAGGTTGGATGTGTTTCAGGGCTGGAGAAAGCAAAACTTCTTTAAGCAACCCAGCTAAAATGACCCAAAAATTTACTCGGGGAAAGGCTTTTCCCCAGACCTCTGCCTGGGTATTTGCTAGTCAGAAATAAATGCCCTCCCCAGAGCTGACTCACACCAGGTACTCCTAGATTTTTCCATTTTCCAACAAATTGTTACATTTAGCACTGGGGCAGAGGTGTTTTGTGGGTGGGTCATGGAGGCTGTGGCTTTGCTGCTAACTGTGACAGGAAGGATGCGTGCGAAGAGGTCCCCTTTTTCAGAGGGCCAGCTGAGGAGCAGCAGCAGGCCAGCAGCCAGGCTGCTGTCCCACCAGATGGCAGCAGCAATTCTGCTCCCCGCAGCGGGAAGGGTAGCAGGGCCCAACGGGTGTCCCTCGGCCTCCCTCGGGAACAGGGCAGCGGAGAGGTCACCCTGCCCCGGGCACAGGACGCAGGGATTGGATGTGGACAAGGGCAAACACAATAGCACAGTCTCCAGGCGAGGAAGACAAGGCACAAGCTGAGACAGAGCTGTCTGACGGGCAGCACAACTTGGGCAGGCAGGTACAGTGGTTTCGTCCCTGTGCCCGGCTGTCCTGGTAAACCTCCAATGCCCATTTGGCTCTGCTGAGCAGCTCCAGCTTTTAACCCCGCTCGCCTAAGGTCACACACTGGAAGGTGCAAATGCCTGTCTCTCTTCCTAACCCTGCTCCCAGGGCGGCTTGGCTTTGCAGCCTGTCTCCTTGCAGCCCTTTGAGCTTTCCTCCTACCCCTTTCCCACCTGCCAAAGGCCGTCCCTGGTTTATTACTAATTCAGGGTGGACAGGAACAACAGAAATGTCTGGGCCTGACTTCAGAGGTGCAACTTGTTTTAGCTTGACATTAGAAAACAGCACTGAGTCTTCAGGTCCAGAATGTCAGTGATGAATGCATACTGGAGGGACCGGTGTTGGTAAAAGCTTGGCAGTTTTTAATCTGAAGCCCCACAGATTTGTGGCCCCAGAGCAATTAGAGTAATGGCAGCACAGACTCATAACTTGTATTTCTCTGAATACAGCTCAAAAACTAAGCTACAGGGACCAGGTTTTGGGCAAAGTCTGCTGGTAGTGGGCAACATCAGACCTGCTGGGGTGACTAAAGGGCCCTGTATGAGGGAGACTGCAGCCCTCTGCTGCCAGAACGTGTCTCCCACTTGAGACCAAAGAGCAGCAGTTGGTTGGCACCATCAGAGCCCTACAAGCCAAGGTGAAATCTCCCTGCCCACTACTCTGGTTTGGTTTTGTTGGTTTTGTTTTTTTTCCTGAGAGACTGCCTTATTCCTTCTTTTCATATTAGTGGAAGAGCTCAGCTCTGCACCACCCGGAGCAGCTCGGCCAGCCTGCTAGCAACACTCAGACCAGCCAAACAAGCTTTTGTTCATGATAAACAAACAGGAAACAGCCTGATTTCCTCTGTGTGTTCACCCTCTCTCTCACGCGCTTGCTCTCTCGCTATTTAATAGATAACCAGCCTACCTGACTTGCGAAGAGGAGACCGAAAGCAACCACATGGACAGGCACTCTGGAGCAGCTGTAATTTGCAGCGTGGCTGTTGGATTGAAATGGGCATCTGCTCCCTGACAGTCACCAATGCACCAGAGCCGAAGCCTCTCC